AATTCTCTCCTCTCCACTTTCCAGTCAGCTCTGCCTGTATTTTCATTATTATGTCTTGTTTTAACTCACTAGTAATTTTATTGTATTTAATTTGTATGACAACTGTACGTATTTTTTAGCTTATAATGTAGTAAACTAATGCATGGCTTATAACCCCTATAATATTGTAGTAATGAAATCTCTTTAGTTTATTGTAAAATCTCTTTAGTTTATTGTGATAATCAAACTTCTTTAACTTACAATGTGCAGTATTTACTTATGTATTTCTAATACCCGCCAAGACTAGCTAACGCTATATGCGGGTTGTGTAAATTTGCTTGTAATGTTCTGTAAAATAATAATAAACAACAACAACACTTTCATGTTAGATTCAATAAAGGTTATGTGAATTTTAACGTCAATCACATGTTCTGCGTAATGAATGGGCATACTCCTATGTAGCCAATGAAAAAGAGTTTGATATAAATTTACGATTCACTATTCTCAACAAACACGTCTTGATGATACCATCCTTCATTGCAAGAGTCCTGCAAGGTTGCTGCATGGTTGACCTACTGAAGGGAGTGGTCAAGTTACGGGTGGATTTCTACCTGAAGTCCATGGGAAATAGAGTTTGATTTGATATATCGCAAGGCCCTATTGAAATGGGTTCGAGTTTTGGCTAGATTGCAGAATACCCGGCCCCTCATTTACATGTCATTGAATAAGAATAGCCTCTATTGTGTTATGCTTCGTTCTTCAAAGCCCCCCGACACAGGTAAATGAGGTGGTCGGGTATTCTGCAATTGCTCCCCAGTTTTCTCGAGTCGATTGTGTCGCCCCACAGAGAACGCCAAAGATAACATTCAAAAGTTGATTAAAATATCTAGTAATGTGAGAGAAAAGTTCTTAATGCGGCAGTTCGGGTTACATGCTTAATTCCTAAAAGTCTGCTCATATTACTCGGGTACTCAGGCAACTTCCCTGGTTACCGGTGAAATTTAGAGTCGAATTTAAGATTACGCTTTTAGTTTTTAAAACGTTGAATGGCCTGGCACCACAATATTTATCTCAACTACTTGTTGTAAAGCCTAGAACTAGATATAGCCTGCGGTCTGATTCTGAAACATTGCTGCTAATCCTTAGGGTGACACGGAAGACTCTTGGCGATCGAGCCTTTTTCAATGTCTGACCAACAGTAAGGAATGCCTTGCCATCTAGTCTTAGAAACTGTAGGAACATTGACTCTTTTAAAGTACAGTTGAAGACTTATCTTTTAAAGAAAGCTTTTAATTTGTAATTTTATATTCTTATTGCTAGTATTATTTATGCCATCTAGCCTTAGATACTATATGAACTTCACTTTTTTAAAGTACAGTTGAGGACTTATAATTTCTTCTTAAGAACGCTTTCAATATTGTACAGCGCTTTAGAATATTTTAATTGTTAAAGCGTTATATTAAATGTAATAAATTATTATAAAACGTACCGAAACCCTACCTGTAGGTGGGAATGTTCCATAAACCTCTCCAGTGATATGGCTGTAAAATTATTTTAAAAAATAACCTTTGCCTCCAAAAAGTTAAAAACAAAACTAAACCTTCCCATGCGGCCTATTTCCATAAGTACATTTCAGAGCCACCTTAAATTTTTCTGATGTATTTTAAGGTGGCCCAGGTAACCCAAGATATCCAAAAATATTAATCATACATTACATGGAAATAATTGGACATTTATTTGTACCATTTTCAAGAGAACAAACAAAAAAGTGTTTTAATATCACCCTCTCCATGCAATGGTGTTAAAAAAGTACCAAAACCCATTATCAGTTACCTTAAGTAAGACAGGGCATAAATAATAGGACAGCTGCTATGTACCTTATTTCCAAGATAATCACAAGTCTTCATGCCAAGATACGCCCCAAAACCATTACAAATGAGAACATCCATGATCCACTATGAAATACAATGAGTGTCTTAATAAAGAAATTTCACAGCACATAGTTGCTTAACACACTGGAATGCTAACTGAATAGGAGTGTGTCGATGTCTCAAAACTCCACACTATATACCAACCAATCAATGCTTCTTGAAACAAAACAGTCAGATCATAATTTGTTCTTGGGGCATTTAAAAAAGAAAAACTTAGGGTGACAAGTATGGAAACAGACCCTTTAATTACTCTTGCGACATTTTACAACCTTGGGTGTTGGGTTATGCCAGGGGAAGCCACCCTAAAGAATGAACCTAAAAGAAAAAAACCCACGACAGGCAAAGCTAGAAAGCCTCACGACCAAAGATCAAGCTGCACTGAATTGTTTTTAGCCTTGTGATCCCATAAAAGATAATAACAAATGCTAAAGGGGGTGAGGGTGTCAAAACCACAACCTTGAATACTTTAACTCCCAAAACCTGATCACAAGTAAATAGTTAATGCTTGCAATTAAGATGCAGTTAAAGCAATTGCAGAAAAGAAGCCTAAAAAGTCTGGCTTTTGCTGAAATTTGAATGTGTGCCCCCCAGATACATAATGGTGGCTACATCAAGCTGACCTGTTTTAATTGTGATCTGTAGACTTCAATAGTTTTATAAGCCATATCACACCTGCTTATTGTCCTCACTTGTATAAAAACTATAAAAAAACAGTCATAGGGATTAAGAAGGTTGAAGAAAATTAGGCATTTGAAGAGTTTGACTTACATGATCCCACCAGCATTCACTGAAGTTTGGTAACTGATGCTCTAAGGAATATTCCAAGACTTCAAAAAGAACACTAGTGACAGTCAATAGCCAGTAGTCACGAAGGATGAGTGCCTGGAAATACAAAATTGGTCATTGAAAAAAAAATCACAAGGGATACACATTTGGCAAGCTTCATAAAAGAGAATTGAATTTTTAACCAGCAAAGCATTTATTTGTTCTTAAGATACTTTTCCTATCGAGCAATGACACGTTAGAGACCCCTCATCTAAAAATGTCTCTAATCTTAAGACTACATTATGCTTTTCTTTGAAACAACACTTTACTGGAACAAATTCATCTTACCTTTGCCCACCATCCGAAAAAATGAGCTGGTATAAAGACATCACATTTCTCCTGTTGGGCATTAAAGAAAAACAATGTTATCTGGAGACATAGTCGTCTAGTGTTCATTTTTCTTATTTAAAAAAAAAAAAAGAAGAAGTCACATTAATCAAAATTAAGTTTCACTACATCCTGAATTTCTTACCTAAAAAAAATGTTTTTTTGACCAAAAAGAATGTGCACCTACAACTTGAACTACATGCAACAATCTCTGTTGATAAATTGACTTGCACTTACAAGAAAGGTATGGAATGATCCCTTGGGGTGTCCTGGTGTGTATAACCTACAGTCTTCTCCATAAGATTGCTCTGGCAATGGTTTCCCTAAATCTTCCTCAAGATACTTTAGCAACTGCCTGGCATCATGAGTTGTCTGAAAAAGATAATATGCAAGCTAAGGTATGTCTCAAGGGGACTAGTGAAGGCTTGAATGACAATGGAAATCATGTTCATGATTGCAAAACAAATTTGAGGTATATGATCTTCAGGGTGTGTAGTTAAAATAAAGAAAAGTCTATCCTACTTTACCAGTTGAAGAAGTGTTAACAGTGACAAATAACATTTAATATCAAAAACACATACCTGGAATAAAAGAAAAATTAGAACCAATTCATAAACAACACTTAGGCAAAGAATGATACGCCACAAAGCTGAAAATCAAAACAGAGAACTTGAGGTTAAGCTACGTTAACCTTGAATGGGTTGTAAGTACATCTGTAGACTATTCGCTCCGACGAAAGGCTAACGCACAAAACGTCAGCTTTTGTAATCGTTACGGTGGCCAATTTACCATTTCAACTTTGTTGATATATCCAAATTATTTCACTACTCCCACCGACGTAGCCCCAAACAGTTTCTTTCGAAACTGTCAGCCTTTATTCATTTGTAGACTAATTTAATCTTTCTTTTACAATGTAGTAATTCAACACTGGAGGTCAAACCTAAGGTTTGTCCCCTGAGTTTTTTCCACCATTACAGTAGGTTATACCAAATCACCTTCAAAGAGGTATGGCGGCAAAATTTCTCATCACAACAGGATGGAGAAAATTTATCAGGTAGGGGATAGTTTATGGAGAAAAAAACCTCCATAAACCAATCTACTTCATGGTGTTATACGCATCTTGAAAATTAAGCCTATCTTTTTCAAATCTGTAGTTGGCAATCTTTGTGAATGTGTTGATCTAATCCAATCATAACCATCTTTACTTATGTGTGGTTTATACTTTTATCTTATGTGTTCATCTTTCTAGAAAACAACTATTTCGAGGGTTCTTTACATTTTTTACCTTTTTTATACATCTCCAAAATAACAAAAATATATGTCACAACTCCTTCAACTTCATCAATCGCATACCTGGGTGAGGTCGTTTGAACGGTCCATCTCTTATCTGAGTGTCCCCAAACAACAAAAATACTGCAATGCAGGCTACAAGTCCCCTGAAACAACGTAAGATTCAAATATAACATTACAAATATCAAGCTAATTTGCAACCAAAGAGCGAGCTTTGGGGGGGGAGGGTGGGGTGGTGGGAGAGGGGAATGGGTCCTGTTACTGGGTAATGGTGGCTCTGCACAAGAATCTCCACTGTCAGAAAAGTTTGAGGTGATAACAAAAGGGAGCCCTTGCAAAATGATTGTTGGGATCCCAGGTGGGATCCCAGGTGGAATCCCAGGTGGGATTTTGGAACGGGATCCCCCCTGGGATCCCAGGTGGGATTGTGGGCAGGAATTAAAAATCCCACAATTTTGAAATTTCCTAATCCAAGTTATTACACTCGGGATCCCAGGCGGGATAATCTGCTATCCCAGGTAGGATAAACTGGCATCCCAGGTGGGATAAACTGGCATCCCGGGTGGGATAATCTGGTAGACTTAATGACTCCTATGTAAGTATTTAATCTAACGACCCAGATCTAGATGCTGTATTAAATGAAGCCAATTCCAACATGACCACTTCAATGAAATAAAATTATTATATTTGAAACAGGTAAAACGTTTCCCAAAAATTTAAAATAACTGGAAACATGTATCAGTGTAGTTCATTAATTAAGAACAAGTGAATAAGACACTGCAATGTTATCTATTTGACATAGTTTATTGATATAAATTAAGTATGTATGCAATTTTTATTTCTCTTCTAATCAACAAGAACATATAAAACCTAAAAAATCATTCAAAAATACAGGAATAATCATAAAATTATGCTTAAGTTCTAGCGATTTTAAATTTGTTTTTGTTTTTTTTCATACTCCTCTACAAGCTCCAAAGCACTTATCTTGCAAGGTTTTCTTTACAACTGTGGCAGGCTGCTTTCTATAACTTTTCTCATCCAGAACAAAACCTAGGAAGCAATAAAAAGACAAATGTTCAAGTCAGTTCTTAAATGATTGAAACTGTGGATTACCAACAAACAGCCCGACAGTTGATTATGTTGGTAACATGGAGTTTCATAATCTAAATACTAACAAAAATTTCAAGCAAGGAGAGTACAGTAGTTTGTTTGACCTGTGCATGATGCACACTGCACCTAGATTGCCAGAGATTGAGATCACCACTTAGAATATATAGCCCCCTTCCTTAACTAGAATCAATCAATCAAAATGATGAAAGACATGGTCCAAAGTGACAGTGTAAGCTTGGTTAGCAAGGGAAGTAGTAATCAATTCTGCAAAAGACCATCACTTCATAAAAAAATATCATCACGATGGCTTAGTTACTGGCAAAGAAGAAAGTAATTCATATTAGTTTTATCAAACACTCTTTACCTTTGAAATGTGAAAGAGAGGCAAAGGACCATTTAAAGAATTGAATTGTTGAGATAAAAAATAAAAATGAGCGGTTATTCAGTTTACATACCACGAAAAGTGAGAATTATCCCTGGGAACCAGCCCTTTGCTATTTGCATCCTCCGAGAACGTGTCACACAAGGAGGCTGCCTCAACATCATCACCGGCAATCTCAAATTTACCTCAACTGAACAGGCACTTTATTCCATCCTCAGCAAATTTCACAAGGTGAAAGTCTATACTTAGGGAAACCAGGTATAAGCAACTAAGCTTATCCATTTGAAGTAAGTCCTGCTACAAACAATTATTTCATAGTTTCGATAGGATCATTCACAACTATAAATGAAATAAACAAAAAAAGTTTTAAGTTTCACCACTAAAAAAATGGGTGTCACTCACCATTACCTCTTGACAACATGTTGATGCTTTGGTTATTCGTTGATTCCTTTTTGACATTTTGCAGAGCTGATCTTTATCGGTAAGCCAAACTATAAGTCTGCAGCATGCTAAAACGACGCCACGTGCAAGCATTTGAATAACTGAAATTTTTTTCACACCGCGAAAAGAAAACAAAAGTGCCACCAAAGAACAAAGTTTACCGAAAAAGCTGTGAAATTCCAGCATAACCAATCAAACACGTTTTATACTTTTGGTTCCATTCCCCCTCGTCCATCTACAGTGTAAAGCAAGATGGCGGCCAAATGGATTGATTTAAAGAAACGCAAGCATTTCAACACCTTTTCATTGCGTTGCAAATCCTTTGCCACCAAAGCTTGAGTTGTCTTGTGAGGAATGCTTTAATCGAAGCTCCAAGCTGTAATAATTTCAGACCAACCCCTCTATTAACTCCACTGTGTTTTGAAGATCACATCGATGGTTCGAACAGATCGCTGGTTTCGAATTCTTCAGCAGCTGAAAATGGATGGTCAGGATTCACACTGCAGGACACAGTTTTTGAGTCAGGCTAATTTGTGGATTGCGTTGAAGTATGAAATTATGAAGAAATTCCTTCACACATTTATGAAAACGTAGAAGAACCGAACAGTAATGAAATAATTCCAGATATAGGATCAATTGACGATCGATAATGGCGGGACAGCTGATCCAAGTAAGCTGAACACTTTTGAAGAAAACAATGACCCACTTGTTTATTAAAAGGTTGAGCTGTTTTCATGTTAGATTTGCAAAGCAAGTAAATTGATGTACAGATAGAAAATTGGTTGTGTGAATTTTTTCTGGACCCTACATTTGTATAAATCAGTATTAATTTTGTTCTTGTTGAAGGACACAAGGTTAAATACCACAATAAAGAGGATTTTTAAAAGACATGGCTGAGAAGATCCCTTTTGCAAAATATTACATGTCACTCAATCAATATATGCTATTTTCCATAGAGATCTTAGTAGTTTTGCACAATTAATTGTTTAAAAGTTTGGTGGTTTGGACACTCAATTCTTGGTCTGCATTTAATCAAATAAATTATGGTCTCCTTGTAGGGGAAATTCAGATATCATTACTGGCATATGATGACAATTTAAAAGATGGCTGGGTCCTCGATTTCTAACTCCCTCTGTTTGATCACCTACACATATGTCAATTTCCTCAGATTTAAAGCAGATTTGTTTGAAAGTAGAAATGTCTGGAAGGAATGATGTTTATGTGAGCAGATTTCCTAATCTGGTGGAAAGGAATTAACATACAGACCAAAAATGAGTCTCACACAATTTCCTTTGAATCAGCAAAGTGGCACAGACATTGTACAACCTTACATGTAAATGAGTAATTAATGTAATTCGTATTTATATGCACCTTGTCTAAAACAAATACATGTATTTGCTGATACCTGATAATCTTTCATAGTTTTGAAATATGAAGAAATTGGTTAGATTGTAAACCTATGTATGAAACAACTTTGCAACATGGGATTCCATCTTTTGACTAACACAGATCCAACTCTCACACTTTATGAGGGAATTATCCTACCTATCTCAACTGGTTGTCATTTCCTTTGTCAAATCCAGAATTGTACATTCATCATCTGGGAACCTGATCTATATTTTCTTAGATCCAGCCAGTATTTATTACCTCATTCTGGGATCACTTTTAAACAATCCAAGATGAAACAAGATCCCACTTATCCCACCCGAGATCCCACCTATCTTACCCAGGATCTTACCTTTCTCACCCGGGATCCCGCCCATCCCACCCGGGATCCCACCTTTCCCACCCGGGATCCCATCCATCCCACCTGGGATCCCGCCTATCCCGCCAGGGATCCCAACTTTTTTTTACATGGGAAATAGTTACAGTGGCTCTGCACAACAATTTCCATTGTTCGAAAGAGTTTAAAGTGAGTAAAAAGGGTACAAATAGTAACAGTGGCTCTGCACAAAAACCTCTATTGTTAGAAAGAGTTTGAAATGAATGCAAAGGGAACAAATAGATACAGTGGCTCTGCACAAGAATCTCAAATGTTAGAAAGAGTTTAAAGTTAGTAAAAAGGAGACAAGGAGTAACTTAAATTAAGAAAAATATCATAGGTACTTAACTAAAGCAGCAGTTTGCCAACTCAAAATCAGCAGTTTAAATCAGATGCCTTAAAAGGCATGCTAGATAGTAGTTCTTTCCATACAATTTTATCTCTGAATCACACCAAGGTCACAAAAAAAAATTAGGAAATGATCAGCAATGGAAGGAGCTCATAAAAATCCTTGTTAGCACCTTAGAAATGTTAAGAGACCAGAATGGAGAATATGTCTTTTGATGGTAAAGTGTAAAGAGTTAAAATATACTTATGACTGGGGCCTGGAATCAAGTTACCAGTTTTTTTAAGATAAATAATCACCATACCTCTTTGTATTGTATTCACTGTTTTCCTTAGTTTTTTCAAAAGCTCCAACATAAACCAAGACACACAGCATAATCAGAAGAACTGTCACTGTATGTGCTCTCCTGACAAAAATTACAAACCACAAAAATTTTAGAAGCTGAATAGTTTGCACAAGTAGGTCTCATCCATTGTCATGGGGCATTGTCATTAAATTTACAAGCACTGGTATTACATATATCTTATTAACCAAGCGCGAGGGCCGTACTGGGAGAATAT